TTAGGAGTCCTGGGGTAGTGAGAGGTGGCTTTAGGAGTCCTGGGACAGTGAGAGGTGGCTTCAGGAGTCCTGGAACAGTGAGAGGTGGCTTTAAAAGTCCTGGAGCAGTGAGAGTTGGCTTTAGAAGTCTTTGAGCAGTGAGAGGTGGCTTTAAGAGTCCTGGAGCAGTGAGAGGTGGCTTTAGAAGTCCTGGAGCAGTGAGAGGTGGCTTTAGAAGTCCTGGAGCAGTGAGAGGTGGCTTTAAGAGTCCTGGAGCAGTGAGAGGTGGCTTTAGAAGTCCTGGAGCAGTGAGAGGTGGCTTTAAGAGTCCTGGAGCAGTGAGAGGTGGCTTTAGGAGTCCTGTAACAGTGAGAGGTGGCTTTAGGAGTCCTGGAGCAGTGAGAGGTGGCTTTAGGAGTCCTGGAGCAGTGAGAGGTGCCTTTAAAAGTCCTGGAGCAGTGAGAGGTGGCTTTAAAAGTCTTTGAGCAGTGAGAGGTGGCTTTAGGAGTCCTGGGACAGTGAGAGGTGGCTTTAAGAGTCCTGGAGCAGTGAGAGGTGGCTTTAAGAGTCCTGGAGCAGTGAGAGGTGGCTTTAAGAGTCCTGGAGCAGTGAGAGGTGGCTTTAAGAGTCCTGGAGCAGTGAGAGGTGGCTTTAAAAGTCCTGGAGCAGTGAGAGGTGGCTTTAAGAGTCCTGGAGCAGTGAGAGGTGGCTTTAAGAGTCCTGGAACAGTGAGAGGTGGCTTTAGGAGTCCTGGAACAGTGAGAGGTGGCTTTAGGAGTCCTGGAACAGTGAGAGGTGGCTTTAGGAGTCCTGGGACAGTGAGAGGTGGCTTTAGGAGTCCTGGGACAGTGAGAGGTGGCTTTAGGAGTCCTGGAGCAGTGAGAGGTGGCTTTAAAAGTCCTGGAGCAGTGAGAGGTGGCTTTAAGAGTCCTGGAGCAGTGAGAGGTGGCTTTAAGAGTCCTGGAGCAGTGAGAGGTGGCTTTAAGAGTCCTGGAGCAGTGAGAGGTGGCTTTAGTAGTCCTGGAGCAGTGAGAGGTGGCTTTAAGAGTCCTGGAGCAGTGAGAGGTGGCTTTAGTAGTCCTGGAGCAGTGAGAGGTGGCTTTAGGAGTCCTGAAGCAGTGAGAGGTGGCTTTAGGAGCCCTGGAGCAGTGAGAGGTGGCTTTAGGAGTCCTGGAGCAGTGAGAGGTGGCTTTAGTAGTCCTGGAGCATTGAGAGGTGGCTTTAGGAGTCCTGGAGCAGTGAGAGGTGGCTTTAGGAGTCCTGGGGCAGTGAGAGGTGGCTTTAGGAGTCCTGGAGCAGTGAGAGGTGGCTTTAGGAGTCCTGGAGCAGTGAGAGGTGGCTTTAGGAGTCCTGGAGCAGTGAGAGGTGGCTTTAGGAGTCCTGGAGCAGTGAGAGGTGGCTTTAGTAGTCCTGGAGCAGTGAGAGGTGGCTTTAGGAGTCCTGGAGCAGTGAGAGGTGGCTTTAGGAGTCCTGGAGCAGTGAGAGGTGGCTTTAGGAGTCCTGGAGCAGTGAGAGGTGGCTTTAGTAGTCCTGGAGCAGTGAGAGGTGGCTTTAGGAGTCCTGGAGCAGTGAGAGGTGGCTTTAGGAGTCCTGGAGCAGTGAGAGGTGGCTTTAGTAGTCCTGGAGCAGTGAGAGGTGGCTTTAGGAGTCCTGGAGCAGTGAGAGGTGGCTTTAAAAGTCCTGGAGCAGTGAGAGGTGGCTTTAAGAGTCCTGGAGCAGTGAGAGGTGGCTTTAAGAGTCCTGGAGCAGTGAGAGGTGGCTTTAAGAGTCCTGGAGCAGTGAGAGGTGGCTTTAGGAGTCCTGGAGCAGTGAGAGGTGGCTTTAGGAGTCCTGGAGCAGTGAGAGGTTGCTTTAGGAGTCCTGGAGCAGTGAGAGGTGGCTGTAAGAGTCCTGGAGCAGTGAGAGGTGGCTTTAGGAGTCCTGGAGCAGTGAGAGGTGGCTTTAGGAGTCCTGGAGCAGTGAGAGGTGGGTGGCTTTTGCAGTCTTGAGGAAAAACGAGAGCGCCAATAATGTCTTAATTAACAACACGACGAAACAACAGTCGTTATTTTACCATAATTTAAATCAAATATAATTATGATCAAACGATAAGCAATAATCATGAACATTAAATCTTAGTTCCTATTTGGGGATGAGAGCCCCCATTTAGGAGTTATAGGCGGTCAACGACGTGTTATAGGTGCTCAACGACTAGTTGTTGTCACCCATTACTCCTAAGTGAGCGCCTATAACTCGTCGTTGAGCGCCTATAACTCGTCGTTGAGCGCCTATAACTCGTCGTTGAGCGCCTATAACTCGCCGTTGAGCGCCTATAACTCGTGCCTGAGCGCCTATAACTCGTGCCTGAGCGCCTATAACTCGTGCCTGAGCGCCTATAACTCGTGCCTGAGCGCTTATAACTCGTCGTTGAGCGCCTATAACTCGTCGTTGAGCGCCTATAACTCGTCGTTGAGCGCCTATAACTCTTCGTTGAGCGCCTATAACTCTTCGTTGAGCGCCTATAACTCGTCGTTGAGCGCCTATAACTCTTCGTTGAGCGCCTATAACTCTTCGTTGAGCGCCTATAACTCGTCGTTGAGCGCCTATAACTCTTCGTTGAGCGCCTATAGCACTTCGTTGAGCGCCTATAACTCTTCGTTGAGCGCCTATAACTCGTCGTTGAGCGCCTATAACTCGTCGTTGAGCGCCTATAACTCTTCGTTGAGCGCCTATAGCACTTCGTTGAGCGCCTATAACTCGTCGTTGAGCGCCTATACCTCGTCGATGAGCACCTATAACTCTTTGTTAAGCGCCTATAACTCTTCGTTGAGTGCCCATAACTAGTGGTTGAGCTCCTATAACTCGTAGATGAGCGCCTATAACTCGTTGTTGAGTGCCTATAACTCGTCGTTGAGCGCCTATAACTCGCCTATAACCCGGATCCCGGGTTATATTCCCGAGGCGGAGAGAAATAATTTGGACCCTACATTATTACCCCCCCCCCCCCACCCTCTATTAGTGTAGGTCACCTCCCTCTATTAGTTCAAGTCATCCCCCCCCCACCCTCTATTAGTGTAGGTTACCTCCCTCTATTAGTTCAAGTCATCCCCCCCCCACCCTCTATTAGTGTAGGTTACCTCCCTCTATTAGTTCAAGTCATCCCCCCCCACCCTCTATTAGTGTAGGTCACCTCCCTCTATTAGTTCAAGTCATCCCCCCCCACCCTCTATTAGTGTAGGTCACCTCCCTCTATTAGTTCAAGTCATCCCCCCCCACCCTCTATTAGTGTAGGTTACCTCCCTCTATTAGTTTAAGTCATCCCCCCCCACCCTCTATTAGTTTAGGTTACCTCCCTCTATTAGTTCAAGTCATCCCCCCCCACCCTCTATTAGTTTAGGTTACCTCCCTCTATTAGTTCAAGTCATCCCCCCCCACCCTCTATTAGTTTAGGTTACCTCCCTCTATTAGTTCAAGTCATCCCCCCCCCACCCTCTATTAGTTTAGGTTACCTCCCTCTATTAGTTTAAGTCATCCCCCCCCCCACCCTCTATTAGTTTAGGTTACCACCCTCTATTAGTTTAAGTCATCCCCCCCCTCCCCCGGAGACAGACCCACAGACAGCGACCAACTACAAGTTCGTGAGCTTCCCCTCTCACTCCAGCCAATCACGTGGCTCGACACAGCGCACGTGGGTGGGTGTTGACAAACAACACAGCCCACGTGGGGTGGGTGTTTACAAACAACAGAACGCACGTGGGTGGGTGTTGACAACACCACAACACACGTGGGTGTGTGTTGACAACAACACAGCCCACGTGGGGTGGGTGTTTACAAACAACACAGCCCACGTGGGGTGGGTGTTTACAAACAACACAGCGCACGTGGGTGGGTGTTGACAACACCACAACACACGTGGGTGTGTGTTGACAACAACACAGCCCACGTGGGTGGGTGTTGACAAACAGAACGCACGTGGATGTTTGTTTACAAACAAATCCCACAGTGGCGAATGATCCCGCCCTCTCAATGCGTCACTGTGTACCGTTACAGCCCCCAACGTATCACATACAGCGTCCTATGATAACTGTACCCGCTTCCAAAACTCCGTTTACTATGCCTCGGCCGCTTAGGTTAGGTGGGTGAGGCGGGTTGGTGCGTCTCTAGGGAGGTTTGGGCGTTGTGACAGATCACGGGACGGCGGTGAATGGGGAGCAGACAGTGCTGGCAGACCACTAGACTACGGAGCAGACCAACTGTTGATATAATAGAATTCACACTTAGAAAAACATCATTAAGGTTAGGTTAGGTGAGTACAGTGAGTAGTGAGCATTATAATAATAATAATAATAATAATAATAATAATAATAATAATAATAATAATAATAATAATAATGTTTATTTAGGTAAGGTACATACATACAAGAGATTTTACAAAGATTGATGGATTTATAGATAGAGCTAGTACATACAATGCCTAAAGCCACTATTACGCAAAGCGTTTCGGGCATGAAAAACATTAATGACTAAATCTTAAAAATAGAGATAAAAAGGGGGGAACATGGCTGAAAAAGCAGCACAAATACAATTAGGTCGACAAACAGCGTCGTTTAAGAAAACAGACATGGGTTGACAACAGAGGGGTAAGGTAGGTTACAGGGAATTTATTAGGTAGTGTTTAGTTTTTATCTTAAACTGGTTGAGAGAGGTACAGTCTTTAACATGGTTGGGAAGGTCATTCCACATTCTGGGCCCCTTGATTTGTAGAGCGTTTCTAGTTTGATTAAGTCTAACTCTTGGAATATCAAAACTGTATTTATTTCTGGTGTGGTGCTCATGGGTTCTGTTACAACCTTCAATGAAGCTTTTGAGGTCAGGATTGGCATTACAGTTTAGCGTTTTATATATGTATAATACATGAGAGAATGTGCAGTAACTTAATATCTAACATATTCAGAGATTTGAGTAAGGGTACCGAGTGATGTCTGGGGCCAGAGTTGGATATTGTCCTAATAGCAGCTTTGTGTTGAGTAATTAGAGGACGTAAATGATTTTGGGTAGTAGAGCCCCAAGCACAAATACCATAGTTGAGGTATGGATAGATGAGGGAGTAATAGAGAGTCACCAGGGCAGGGCGGGGTACATAATATCTGATCTTAGAAAGAATGCCAACAGTTTTTGAAACTTTTTTTGATATATTTAGAATGTGTCCCTAGAAATTCAGCTTGTGGTCAATGAGAACGCCAAGGAATTTGCGTTTATAGAGGTGAGTACAGTGAGTAGTGAACATTATAGACAGTTACGAGAGAGGCAGAAGCGGAATACCGTCTCCATGTCAACACCGTCAATATTTTACTGTACCTCACACCTGTCACAGTGAAAAGCCCCCCCTGTCACCTTGACAAGATACCTGTCACGCACGCACACACACACACACACACACACCTGTCATCTGTATGACGGTGTCCGCGTGCCCGTGACTGTTCCTTGCGACACACACGTAGGCGCCAAAGTCCTTCTCAGAGACACGGTCAATAGTGAGAATGTGTCTGTGGGCAGCGTGGGGGAGGTGCTGGGTATGTGTGGTGGCGCCGTGGGTTACATGGGCACCTGTGGAGCCAGGCGGGGCCAGGGGGACACTAATGGGGCCCGGGGCGGGGCTCAGGTGACCGCTGGGCACATCCTGCGAGCGGTTGTGGCGTTCCACAAGGTAGAATTTGGTGTCGACGTTGTTTGGAGAGAGCGGGTGACCGTCACGTGTCCAGAACACGTCAGGGACGGGTTGACCCGTCACCACACACGCCAGTTCGACCCGATCACCGGCTCCCGTCCGTACGATCCCCTGAAAGGGAGAAAAAGAGCTATTATCTGACATAAATCAATGGTTCTGGTTCAAGATTAGTGAATCTCTTGCTGTGGGCGAGGGGTCAACACTGAGGCTTGGAGACAGGGTCTTCTTCGTGAGGTTGTCAGGGTCTAGGTGAGGTTGTCAGGGTCTAGGTGAGGTTGTCAGGGTCTTGGTGAGGTTGTCAGGGTCTAGGCGAGGTTGTCAGGGTCTTGGTGAGGTTGTCAGGGTCTAGGTAAGGTTGTCAGGGTCTAGGTAGGGTTGTCAGGGTCTTGATGAGGTTGTCAGGGTCTTGGTGAAGTTGTCAGGGTCTTGGAGAGGTTGTCAGGGTCTTGGAGAGGTTGTCAGGGTCTAGGTGAGGTTGTCAGGGTCTAGGTGAGGTTGTCAGGGTCTAGGTGAGGTTGTCAGGGTCTTGGCGAGGTTGTCAGGGTCTTGGAGAGGTTGTCAGGGTCTTGGTGAGGTTGTCAGGGTATAGGTGAGGTTGTCAGGGTCTTGGTGAGGTTGTCAGGGTCTTGGTGAGGTTGTCAGGGTCTTGGTGAGGTTGTCAGGGTCTTGGTGAGGTTGTCAGGGTCTTGGAGAGGTTGTCAGAGTCTTGGAGAGGTTGTCAGGGTCTAGGTGAGGTTGTCAGGGTCTAGGTGAGGTTGTCAGAGTCTTGGAGAGGTTGTCAGGGTCTAGGTGAGGTTGTCAGGGTCTTGGTGAGGTTGTCAGGGTCTTGGTGAGGTTGTCAGGGTCTTGGTGAGGTTGTCAGGGTCTTGGTGAGGTTGTCAGGGTCTTGGAGAGGTTGTCAGGGTCTAGGTGAGGTTGTCAGGGTCTTGGAGAGGTTGTCAGGGTCTAGGTGAGGTTGTCAGGGTCTTGGTGAAGTTGTCAGGGTCTTGGAGAGGTTGTCAGGGTCTTGGTGAGGTTGTCAGGGTCTAGGTGAGGTTGTCAGGGTCTTGGTGAGGTTGTCATGGTCTTGGTGAGGTTGTCAGGGTCTTGGAGAGGTTGTCAGGGTCTTCGTGAGGTTGTCAGGGTCTAGGTGAGGTTGTCAGGGTCTTGGAGAGGTGGTCAGGGTCTTGGAGAGGTTGTCAGGGTCTTGGTGAGGTTGTCAGGGTCTTGCTGAGGTTGTCAGGGTCTTGGTGAGGTTGTCAGGGTCTAGGTGAGGTTGTCAGGGTCTAGGTGAGGTTGTCAGGGTCTTGGTGAGGTTGTCAGGGTCTTGGTGAGGTTGTCAGGGTCTAGGTGAGGTTGTCAGGGTCTTGCTGAGGTTGTCAGGGTCTTGGTGAGGTTGTCAGGGTCTTGGTGAGGTTGTCAGGGTCTTGGTGAGGTTGTCAGGGTCTTGGTGAGGTTGTCAGGGTCTTGGAGAGGTTGTCAGAGTCTTGGAGAGGTTGTCAGGGTCTTGGTGAGGTTGTCAGGGTCTTGGTGAGGTTGTCAGGGTCTTGGTGAGGTTGTTTGGGTCTTGGTGAGGTTGTCAGGGTCTTGGTGAGGTTGTCAGGGTCTTGGAGAGGTTGTCAGGGTCTTGGTGAAGTTGTCAGGGTCTTGGAGAGGTTGTCAGGGTCTTCGTGAGGTTGTCAGGGTCTTGGTGAGGTTGTCAGGGTCTAGGTGAGGTTTTCAGGGTCTTGCTGAGGTTGTCAGGGTCTTGGTGAGGTTGTCAGGGTCTGGGTGAGGTTGTCAGGGTCTTGGTGAGGTTGTCAGGGTCTAGGAGAGGTTGTCTGGGTCTTGGTGAGGTTGTCAGGGTCTAGGTGAGGTTGTCAGGGTCTTGGAGAGGTTGTCAGAGTCTTGGAGAGGTTGTCAGGGTCTAGGTGAGGTTGTCAGGGTCTTGGAGAGGTTGTCAGGGTCTTGGTGAGGTTGTCAGGGTCTAGGTGAGGTTGTCAGGGTCTTGGAGAGGTTGTCAGGGTCTTGGTGAGGTTGTCAGGGTCTTGGTGAGGTTGTCAGGGTCTTGGTGAGGTTGTCAGGGACTTGGAGAGGTTGTCAGGGTCTTGGTGAGGTTGTCAGGGTCTTCGTGAGGTTGTCAGGGTCTTGGTGAGGTTGTCAGGGTCTAGGTGAGGTTGTCAGGGTCTTGGTGAGGTTGTCAGGGTCTTGGTGAGGTTGTCAGGGTCTAGGTGAGGTTGTCAGGGTCTTGGTGAAGTTGTCAGGGTCTTGCTGAGGTTGTCAGGGTCTTGGTGAGGTTGTCAGGGTCTTGGTGAGGTTGTCAGGGTCTTGGAGAGGTTGTCAGGGTCTTGGTGAGGTTGTCAGGGTCTTGGTAAGGTTGTCAGGGTCTTGGTGAGGTTGTCAGGGTCTTGGTGAGGTTGTCAGGGTCTTGGTGAGGTTGTCAGGGTCTAGGAGAGGTTGTCTGGGTCTTGGTGAGGTTGTCAGGGTCTTGGTAAGGTTGTCAGGGTCTAGGTGAGGTTGTCAGGGTCTTGGTGAGGTTGTCAGGGTCTTGGTGAGGTTGTCAGGGTCTTGGTGAGGTTGTCAGGGTCTTGGTGAGGTTGTCAGGGTCTAGATGTAATAGCGAGCTTAATACCATTTGAAGCGACATAATTCTGATGGAATGTTTTACAGGTTCTAAGTACATATAGCTTTATTTACTTAGTGCTTTATTATATTTATTTGTAATATTTTTTAATTATATTTAATATTAATTATATTTATTATATACAAGAACAGAACTGTAGACATACAAGACGATTATATGTTTCAATCTTCTGCTCGAGATGTCTAACACACTTCCGCAGACAGCAGTGTATATGGCTGAAAACCCGACACTGTTTACTAATATTCAATGCAATAGGCAGATAATATTGATGTTAAGTTAAGTTGAAAAAATAAATTCACTCATAGAAGACGGAAGTTAAATTTTCCGTCAATAGAAAACGCTATTAATTTCACCAGCTAATTTTTGGGGGAACATTCTTAATACAGCAAAATTGGACTTTTAAACACCATAAAAACATTTCACTTGAACTAACTTGATTATTAGTACCAAAATAAAGTAAATGGTGACATTTCTACCACTTCTTGACATCTGGATATAGCTGTCATATATGCAGGCGAGGAGTCACAATAACGTGGCTGAAGTATGTTGACCAGACCACACACTAGAATGGTGAAGGGACGACGACGTTTCGGTCCGTCCTGGACCATTCTCAAGTCGTCCTTGACCATTCTCAAGTCGTCCTGGACCATTCTCACATCGATCGACTTGAGAATGGTCCAGGACGGACCGAAACGTCGTCGTCCCTTCACCTTCTAGTGTGTGGTCTGGTCAACAGCCCCGTTATTGTGACTCCTCGTCTGCATCACAACGGGTTGATAATAATAATAATTTTTCTTTGCATGAAGGTACAATGGGTTGATGAGATTTAATAAAAGTGGAATGTTCCCTTTCATGCAAAGTCACTAACACGCATAGCGTTTCGGGCAGAAATAATTAAGGATAAGGAATAGTATTTAAGACTAGCAAGGTCAAAGGTTGTTTGAGGTCGCTAAACCAGTGCTGAAGAGGAAGAAAATCAGGGAAAGCGCCAAGCCATTACGACTATATACCACTTGGAAAGGGTCAGGATAAAGCTTTGAGATGGGAAAGAGGGATGAAAATGCTTCCAACCACTTGTGGACGGTCGGGGGATTGAACGCCGATCTGCATGAAGCTAAACCGTCGCTCTACCGTCCAGCCCAATTGGTTGAGCCAGCAGATAAGACAGTATTGCCCGGTAAGGTGGCAGAGATGCCTCAGGGTCTGACCTTGTCAGTGGTGACCTCTGGCGGGTACTCGACGGTCAGGGTCATGGCGGCGGAGGCGGCCTCCCCGATGCCGTTGTCGGCGCTGCAGAGGTACGTCCCCTCGGCGTGACGGTCCACCTCCGTCAGCGTCAGGCTCCGGCCCTGCAGGAGGCAGAGTGACCGGTTACACAAGAACAGTAGGCAGAGTGACGGGTTACACAAGAACAGTAGGCAGAGTGACGGGTTACACAAGAACAGTAGGCAGAGTGACGGGTTACACAAGAACAGTAGGCAGAGTGACGGGTTACACAAGAACAGTAGGCAGAGTGACTGGTTACACAAGAACAGTAGGTATAGTGACGGCTTACACAAGAACAGTAGGCAGAGTGACGGGTTACACAAGAACAGTAGGTAGAGTGACGGGTTACACAAGAACAGTAAGCAGAGTGACGGCTTACACAAGAACAGTAGGCAGAGTGACGGGTTACACAAGAACAGTAGGCAGAGTGACGGGTTACACAAGAACAGTAGGCAGAGTGACGGCTTACACAAGAACGGTAGGCAGAGTGACGGCTTACACAAGAACAGTAGGCAGAGTGACGGGTTACACAAGAACAGTAGGCAGAGTGACGGGTTACACAAGAACAGTAGGCAGAGTGACGGGTTACACAAGAACAGTAGGCAGAGTGACGGGTTACACAAGAACAGTAGGTAGAGTGACGGCTTACACAAGAACAGTAGGCAGAGTGACGGGTTACACAAGAACAGTAGGCAGAGTGACGGCTTACACAAGAACAGTAGGCAGAGTGACGGCTTTCACAAGAACAGTAGGCAGAGTGACGGCTTACACAAGAACAGTAGGCAGAGTGACGGCTTTCACAAGAACAGTAGGCAGAGTGACGGCTTACACAAGAACAGTAGGCAGAGTGACGGGTTACACAAGAACAGTAGGCAGAGTGACGGGTTACACAAGAACAGTAGGCAGAGTGACGGCTTACACAAGAACAGTAGGCAGAGTGACGGGTTACACAAGAACAGTAGGCAGAGTGACGGGTTACACAAGAACAGTAGGCAGAGTGACGGCTTACACAAGAACAGTAGGCAGAGTGACGGCTTTCACAAGAACAGTAGGCAGAGTGACGGCTTACACAAGAACAGTAGGCAGAGTGACGGGTTACACAAGAACAGTAGGCAGAGTGACGGGTTACACAAGAACAGTAGGCAGAGTGACGGCTTACACAAGAACAGTAGGCAGAGTGACGGGTTACACAAGAACAGTAGGCAGAGTGACGGGTTACACAAGAACAGTAGGCAGAGTGACGGCTTACACAAGAACAGTAGGCAGAGTGACGGGTTACACAAGAACAGTAGGCAGAGTGACGGCTTACACAAGAACAGTAGGCAGAGTGACGGCTTACACAAGAACAGTAGGCAGAGTGACGGCTTACACAAGAACAGTAGGCAGAGTGACGGGTTACACAAGAACAGTAGGCAGAGTGACGGGTTACACAAGAACAGTAGGCAGAGTGACGGCTTACACAAGAACAGTAGGCAGAGTGACGGCTTACACAAGAACAGTAGGCAGAGTGACGACTTACACAAGAACAGTAGGCAGAGTGACGGCTTACACAAGAACAGTAGGCAGAGTGACGGCTTACACAAGAACAGTAGGCAGAGTGACGGCTTACACAAGAACAGTAGGCAGAGTGACGGCTTACACAAGAACAGTAGGCAGAGTGACGGGTTACACAAGAACAGTAGGCAGAGTGACGGGTTACACAAGAACAGTAGGCAGAGTGACGGGTTACACAAGAACAGTAGGCAGAGTGACGGGTTACACAAGAACAGTAGGCAGAGTGACGGCTTACACAAGAACAGTAGGCAGAGTGACGGCTTACACAAGAACAGTGGACAGAGTGACGGGTTACACAAGAACAGTGGACAGAGTGACGGCTTACACAAGAACAGTAGGCAGATTGACGGCTTACACAAGAACAGTAGGCAGAGTGACGACTTACACAAGAACAGTAGGCAGAGTGACGGCTTACACAAGAACAGTAGGCAGAGTGACGGCTTACACAAGAACAGTAGGCAGAGTGACGGCTTACACAAGAACAGTAGGCAGAGTGACGGCTTACACAAGAACAGTAGGCAGAGTGACGGCTTACACAAGAACAGTAGGCAGAGTGACGGCTTACACAAGAACAGTAGGCAGAGTGACGGCTTACACAAGAACAGCGTGAGAGATAACACAAAAAAGCAATAGTCGAGAGGTTTTCTCCTAGAAGAACCATTGTATAAATGTGTTACCAACGAACAATTGAACAAGTCTGTCGTGTGCAGGAGTGCAACAGTGTCTCATTAACCATTACTCTCCATGAATACTGCAACGCTGACCGGGCAGTGGCTAACCTCAAGTACAGTTGTGGCGTTACACATGTACACACCTGGTACGCTACACATGTAGACACCTGACACATGTACACACCTGGTACGCTACACATATAGACACCTGACACATGTAGACACCTGGTACGCTACACCTGTAGACACCTGACACATGTAGACACCTGGTACGCTACACATGTAGACACCTGACACATGTAGACACCTGTTACGCTACACACGTAGACACCTGACACATGTACACACCTGGTACGCTTCACCTGTAGACACCTGACACATGTACACACCTGGTACGCTACACCTGTAGACACCTGACACATGTACACACCTGGTACGCTACACTTGTAGACACCTGACACATGTACACACCTGGTACGCTACACCTGTAGACACCTGACACATGTAGACACCTGGTACGCTACACCTGTAGACACCTGACACATGTAGACACCTGTTACGCTACACATGTAGACACCTGACACATGTAGACACCTCTTACGCTACACATGTAGACACCTGACACATGTAGACACCTGGTACGCTACACCTGTAGACACCTGACACATGTACACACCTGGTACGCTACACCTGTAGACACCTGACACATGTAGACACCTGTTACGCTACACATGTAGACACCTGACACATGTAGACACCTGTTACGCTACACATGTAGACACCTGACACATGTAGACACCTGTTACGCTACACATGTAGACACCTGACACATGTACACACCTGGTACGCTACATCTGTAGACACCTGACACATGTACACACCTAGTACGCTACACCTGTAGACACCTGACACATGTACACACCTGGTATGCTACACCTGTAGACACCTGACACATGTACACACCTGGTACGTTACACATTTACACACCTGGGCTGATAATTTCAGCAGGCAACAAGGAAGATATGGTGAGAAAGACTGACCTGCCGCGTAAGACTGACCTGCCGCGTAAGACTGACCTGCCGCATAAGACTGACCTGCCGCGTAAGACTGACCTGCCGCCAAAGACTGACCTGCCGCGTAAGACTGGCCTGCCGCGTAAGACTGACCTGCCACGTACGTAAGACTGACCTGCCACATACGTAAGACTGCCCTGCCGCGTAAGACTGGCCTGCCACGTAAGACTGACCTACCGCGTAAGACTGACCTGTCGCGTAAGACTGACCTGCCGCGTAAGACTGACCTGCCGCGTACGACTGACCTGCCGCGTAAGACTGACCTGCCGCGTACGACTGACCTGCTGCATAAGACTGACCTACCGCGCACGACTGACCTGCCGCGTACGACTGACCTGCCGCGTAAGACTGACCTGCCGCGTAAGACTGACCTGCCGTGTAAGACAGACCTGCCGCGTATGACTGACCTGCCGCGTAAGACTGACCTGCCGCGTAAGACTGACCTGCCGCGTACGACTGACCTGCCGCGTATGACTGACCTGCCGCGTAACACTGACCTGCCGCGTAAGACTGACCTGCCGCGTACGACTGACCTGCCGCGTAAGACTGACCTGCCGCATACGACTGACCTGCCATGTAAGATTGACCTGTCGCGTAAAACTGACCTGCCGAGTAAGACTGACCTGCCGCGTTAGACTGACCTGCCGCATAAGACTGACCTGCCGCGTAAGACTGACATGCCGCGTAAGACTGACCTGCCGCATATGACTGACCTGCCGCGTAAGACTGACCTGCCGCGTAAGACTGACCTGCCGCGTAAGACTGACCTGCCGCATAAGAATGACCTGCCGCGTAAGACTGACCTGTCGCGTAAGACTGACCTGCCGCGTAAGACTGACCTGCCGCATAAGACTGACCTGCCGCGTAAGACTGACCTGCCGCGTAAGACTGACCTGCCGCGTAAGACTGACCTGCCGCGTAAGACTGACCTGCCGTAAATGACAGGCCTGCCGCGTAAGACTGACCTGCCACTTAATACTGACCTGCCGCGTAAGACTGACCTGCCGCGTAAGACTGACCTGCCGCTAAAGACTGACCTGCCGCGTAAGACTGACCTGCCGCATAAGACTGACCTGCCGCGTAAGACTGACCTGCCGCATAAGACTGACCTGCCACATAAGACTGACCTGCCGCGTAAGACTGACCTGCCGCTTAATACTGACCTGCCGCGTAAGACTGACCTGCCGCATAAGACTGACCTGCCGCGTAAGACTGACCTGCCGCGTAAGACTGACCTGCCACATAAGACTGACCTGCCGCATAAGACTGACCTGCCGCATAAAACTGACCAGCCGCGTAAGACTGACCTGCCGCATAAGACTGACCTGCCGCATAAGACTGACCTGCCGCGTAAGACTGACCTGTCACGTAAGACTGACCTGCCGCGTTAGACTGACCTGTCACGTAAGACTGACCTGCCGCCAAAGACTGACCTGCCGCCAAAGACTGACCTGCCGCGTAAGACTGGCCTGCCGCATATGACTGACCTGCCGCGTAAGACTGACCTGCCACGTACGACTGACCTGACACGTAAGACTGACCTGCCGTGTAAGACTGACCTGCCGCGTAAGACTGACCTGCCACGTACGACTGACCTGACACGTAAGACTGACCTGCCGCGTAAGACTGACCTGCCGCGTAAGACTGACCTGCCGCCAAAGACTGACCTGCCGCGTAAGACTGACCTGCCGCGTAAGACTGACCTGCCACGTACGACTGACCTGACACGTAAGACTGACCTGCCGCCAAAGACTGACCTGCCGCGTAAGACTGACCTGCCGCGTAAGACTGACCTGCCGCGTAAGACTGACCTGCCGCATAAGACTGACCTGCCGCGTAAGACTGACCTGCCGCGTAAGACTGACCTGCCGCGTAAGACTGACCTGCCGCGTAAGACTGACCTGCCGCGTAAGACTGACCTGCCATGTGACACTGACCTGCCGCGTAAGACTGACCTGCCACGTAAGACTGACCTGCCGCGTAAGACTGACCTGCCGCGTTGGACTGACCTGCCGCGTAAGACTGACCTGCCGCGTAAGACTGACCTGCCGCGTAAGACTGACCTGCCGCGTAAGACTGACCTGCCGCGTAAGACTGACCTGCCGTGAATGACAGCCCTGCCGCGTAAGACTGACCTGCCGCTTAATACTGACCTGCCGCGTAAGACTGACCTGCCGCGTAAGTCTGACCTGCCACTTAAGACTGACCTGCCGCGTAAGACTGACCTGCCGCATAAGACTGACATGCCGCGTAAGACTGACCTGCCGCATAAGACTGACCTGCCACATAAGACTGGCCTGCCGCGTAAGACTGACCTGCCGCTTAATACTGACCTGCTGCGTAAGACTGACCTGCCGCATAAGACTGACCTGCCGCGTAAGACTGACCTGCCGCGTAAGACTGACCTGCAACATAAGACTGACCTGCCGCATAAGACTGACCTGCCGCATAAGACTGACCAGCCGCGTAAGACTGACCTGCCGCATAAGACTGACCTGCCGCATAAGACTGACCTGCCGCGTAAGACTGACCTGTCACGTAAGACTGACCTGCCGCGTAAGACTGACCTGTCACGTAAGACTGACCTGCCGCCAAAGACTGACCTGCCGCCAAAGACTGACCTGCCGCGAAAGACTGGCCTGCCGCATATGACTGACCTGCCGCGTAAGACTGACCTGCCACGTACGACTGACCTGACACGTAAGACTGACCTGCCGCGTAAGACTGACCTGCCGCGTAAGACTGACCTGCCACGTACGACTGACCTGACACGTAAGACTGACTTGCCGCGTAAGACTGACCTGCCGCGTAAGACTGACCTGCCGCCAAAGACTGACCTGCCGCGTAAGACTGACCTGCCGCGTAAGACTGACCTGCCACGTACGACTGACCTGACACGTAAGACTGACCTGCCGCCAAAGACTGACCTGCCGCGTAAGACTGACCTGCCGCGTAAGACTGACCTGCCGCGTAAGACTGACCTGCCGCATATGACTGACCTGCCGCGTAAGACTGACCTGCCGCGTAAGACTGACCTGTCACGTAAGACTGACCTGCCGCATAAGACTGACTTGCCGCGTAAGACTGACCTGCCGCGTAAGACTGACCTGCCACGTACGACTGACCTGCCGCATAAGACTGACCTGCCACGTACGACTGACCTGCCGCGTAAGACTGACCTGCCGCGTAAGACTGACCTGCCGCGTTCGACTGACCTGACACGCAAGACTGACCTGCCGCCAAAGACTGACCTGCCGCGTAAGACTGACCTGCCGCATAAGATAGACCTGCCGCGTAAGACTGACCTGCCGCCAAAGACTGACCTGCCGCGTAAGACTGACCTGCCGCATAAGACAGACCTGCCGCGTAAGACTGACCTGCCGCCAAAGACTGACCTGCCACGTAAGACTGACCTGCCGCATAAGACAGACCTGCCGGGTAAGACTGACCTGCCACGTAAGACTGACCTGCCACGTAAGACTGACCTGCCGCGTAAGACTGACCTGCCACGTAAGACTGACCTGCCACGTAAGACTGACCTGCCGCATAAGACAGACCTGCCGCATAAGACTGACCTGCCGCGTACGACTGACCTGCCGCGTAAGACTGACCTGCCGCGTAAGACTGACCTGTAGCGTAACACTGACCTGCCGCGTAAGACTGACCTGCCGCCAAAGACTGACCTACCGCGTACGACTGACCTGCCGCGTATGACTGACCTGCCACGTAAGACTGACCTGCGACGTAAGACTGACCTGCCGCATAAGACAGACCTGCCGCGTAAGACTGACCTGCCGCGTACGACTGACCTGTAGCGTAAGACTGACCTGCCGTGTAAGACTGACCTGCCGCGTATGACTGACCTGTAGCGTAACACTGACCTGCCACGTAAGACTGACCTGCCGCGTATGACTGACCTGTAGCGTAACACTGACCTGCTACGTAAGACTGACCTGCCGCGTACGACTGACCTACCGCGTACGACTGACCTGCCGCGTACGATTGACCTGCCACATAAGACTGACCTGCCGCGTAACACTGACCTGCCGCGTACGACTGACCTGCCGCGTACGACTGACCTGCCGCGTACGACTGACCTGCCGCGTAAGACTAACCTGCCGCGTAAGACTGACCTGCCACGTAAGACTGTCCCACCGCGTACGACTGACCTGGCGCGTAAGACTGACCTGCCGCGTTGGACTGACCTACCGCGTACGACTGACCTACCGCGTACGACTGACCTGCCGCGTACGACTGACCTGTCGCGAATGACTGACCTGTAGCGTCCGCTGACCAGAGGGCAGCGGGCCCTCCTGACGGGACCAGCGGATGACGGGGTGCGGGTTGCCCTCAGCCTCACACTCTAGGGTGACGGTGGCGCCCCTGTTGACCCGCTGCTCGGGTGGCGCCAGGGACCTCACGCTCGGCGCCATCTGCACGTCCAGCGTGTGGCGCAGCTGGACGGGCTCCTCCGTCTCGAACGTGCAGAGGAAGGTGCCGGCGTCTCGCGGCCGGACGGGGGAGATGGTGAGACGGGAGCCGTCTACGGTGAGCCGACGGTCCCGCGTCACTTTTTCTTTCCCCACAGACACCAGCTTCTCCTTGCCTCCGAGTGAAGGAATTTTCTTAATGATGAGTTTGTTCATCCCTGTAGGTATAGTGAAGGGTTACAGAAGAACAGTAGGTATAGTGAAGGGTTACACAAGAACAGTAGGTATAGTGAGGGGTTACACAAGAACAGTAGGTATAGTGATGGGTTACACAAGAACAGTAGGTATAGTGAAGGGTTACACAAGAACAGTAGGTATAGTGAGGGGTTACACAAGAACAGTAGGTATAGTGACGGGTTACACAAGAACAGTAGGTATAGTGAAGGGTTACACAAGAACAGTAGGTATAGTGACGGGTTACACAAGAACAGTAGGTATAGTGAAGGGTTACACAAGAACAGTAGGTATAGTGAAGGGTTACACAAGAACAGTAGGTATAGTGAAGGGTTACACAAGAACAGTAGGTATAGTGAGGGGTTACAGAAGAACAGTAGGTATAGTGAAGGGTTACTCAAGAACAGTAGGTATAGTGAAGGGTTACACAAGAACAGTAGGTATAGTGAGGGGTTACTCAAGAACAGTAGGTATAGTGACGGGTTACACAAGAACAGTAGGTATAGTGAAGGGTTACACAAGAACAGTAGGTATAGTGAAGGGTTACACAAGAACAGTAGGTATAGTGAAGGGTTACACAAGAACAGTAGGTATAGTGACGGGTTACACAAGAACAGTAGGTATAGTGAAGGGTTACACAAGAACAGTAGGTATAGTGAAGGGTTACACAAGAACAGTAGGTATAGTGAGGGGTTACACAAGAACAGTAGGTATAGTGAAGGGTTACACAAGAACAGTAGGTATAGTGACGGGTTACACAAGAACAGTAGGTATAGTGAAGGGTTACACAAGAACAGTAGGTATAGTGAGGGGTTACACAAGAACAGTAGGTATAGTGAAGGGTTACACAAGAACAGTAGGTATAGTGACGGGTTACACAAGAACAGTAGGTATAGTGAAGGGTTACACAAGAACAGTAGGTATAGTGACGGGTTACACAAGAACAGTAGGTATAGTGAAGGGTTACACAAGAACAGTAGGTATAGTGAGGGGTTACACAAGAACAGTAGGTATAGTGAAGGGTTACACAAGAACAGTAGGTATAGTGACGGGTTACACAAGAACAGTAGGTATAGTGACGGGTTACACAAGAACAGTAGGTATAGTGACGGGTTACACAAGAACAGTAGGTATAGTGACGGGTTACACAAGATCAGTAGGTATAGTGAAGGGTTACACAAGAACAGTAGGTATAGTGAAGGGTTACACAAGAACAGTAGGTATAGTGACGGGTTACACAAGAACAGTAGGTATAGTGAAGGGTTACTCAAGAACAGTAGGTATAGTGACGGGTTACACAAGAACAGTAGGTATAGTGAAGGGTTACACAAGAACAGTAGGTATAGTGAAGGGTTACACAAGAACAGTAGGTATAGTGAAGGGTTACACAAGAACAGTAGGTATAGTGACGGGTTACACAAGAACAGTAGGTATAGTGAAGGGTTACACAAGAACAGTAGGTATAGTGAAGGGTTACACAAGAACAGTAGGTATAGTGAGGGGTTACACAAGAACAGTAGGTATAGTGAAGGGTTACACAAGAACAGTAGGTATAGTGACGGGTTACACAAGAACAGTAGGTATAGTGAGGGGTTACTCAAGAACAGTAGGTATAGTGAAGGGTTACACAAGAACAGTAGGTATAGTGAAGGGTTACACAAGAACAGTAGGTATAGTGACGGGTTACACAAGAACAGTAGGTATAGTGAAGGGTTACACAAGAACAGTAGGTATAGTGAAGGGTTACACAAGAACAGTAGGTATAGTGAAGGGTTACACAAGAACAGTAGGTATAGTGAAGGGTTACACAAGAACAGTAGGTATAGTGAAGGGTTACACAAGAACAGTAGGTATAGTGATGGGTTACTCAAGAACAGTAGGTATAGTGAAGTGTTAAACAAGAACAGTAGGTATAGTGATGGGTTACACAAGAACAGTAGGTATAGTGAAGGGTTACACAAGAACAGTAGGTATAGTGACGGGTTACACAAGAACAGTAGGTATAGTGACGGGTTACACAAGAACAGTAGGTATAGTGACGGGTTACACAAGAACAGTAGGTATAGTGACGGGTTACACAAGAACAGTAGGTATAGTGACGGGTTACACAAGAACAGTAGGTATAGTGACGGGTTACACAAGAACAGTAGGTATAGTGAAGTGTTAAACAAGAACAGTAGGTATAGTGACGGGTTACACAAGAACAGTAGGTATAGTGAAGGGTTACACAAGAACAGTAGGTATAGTGACGGGTTACACAAGAACAGTAGGTATAGTGACAGGTTACACAAGAACAGTAGGTATAGTGACAGGTTACACAAGAACAGTAGGTATAGTGAAGTGTTAAACAAGAACAGTAGGTATAGTGACGGGTTACACAAGAACAGTAGGTATAGTGAAGGGTTACACAAGAACAGTAGGTATAGTGACGGGTTACACAAGAACAGTAGGTATAGTGACAGGTTACACAAGAACAGTAGGTATAGTGACAGGTTACACAAGAACAGTAGGTATAGTGAAGTGTTAAACAAGAACAGTAGGTATAGTGACGGGTTACACAAGAACAGTAGGTATAGTGACGGGTTACACAAGAACAGTAGGTATAGTGACGGGTTACACAAGAACAGTAGGTATAGTGACGGGTTACACAAGAACAGTAGGTATAGTGACGGGTTACACAAGAACAGTAGGTATAGTGACGGGTTACACAAGAACAGTAGGTATAGTGACGGGTTACACAAGAACAGTAGGTATAGTGACGGGTTACACAAGAACAGTAGGTATAGTGAAGGGTTACACAAGAACAGTAGGTATAGTGACGGGTTACACAAGAACAGTAGGTATAGTGACGGGTTACACAAGAACAGTAGGTATAGTGACGGGTTACACAAGAACAGTAGGTATAGTGAAGGGTTACACAAGAACAGTAGGTATAGTGACGGGTTACACAAGAACAGTAGGTATAGTGACGGGTTACACAAGAACAGTAGGTATAGTGACGGGTTACAGAAGAACAGTAGGTATAGTGAAGGGTTACACAAGAACAGTAGGTATAGTGACGGGTTACACAAGAACAGTAGGTATAGTGACGGGTTACACAAGAACAGTAGGTATAGTGACGGGTTACACAAGAACAGTAGGTATAGTGAAGGGTTACACAAGAACAGTAGGTATAGTGACGGGTTACACAAGAACAGTAGGTATAGTGACGGGTTACACAAGAACAGTAGGTATAGTGAAGGGTTACACAAGAACAGTAGGTATAGTGAAGGGTTACACAAGAACAGTAGGTATAGTGAAGGGTTACACAAGAACAGTAGGTATAGTGACGGGTTACACAAGAACAGTAGGTATAGTGAAGGGTTACACAAGAACAGTAGGTATAGTGACGGGTTACACAAGAACTGTAGGTATAGTGAGGGGTTACTCAAGAACAGTAGGTATAGTGAAGGGTTACTCAAGAACAGTAGGTATAGTGAAGGGTTACACAAGACAGTAGGTATAGTGACGGGTTACTCAAAAACAGTAGGTAGAGTGACGGGTTACTCAAGAACAGTAGGTATAGTGAAGGGTTACACAAGAACAGTAGGTATAGTGAAGGGTTACACAAGAACAGTAGGTATAGTGAAGGGTTACACAAGAACAGTAGGCAGAGTGACGGGTTACTCAAGAACAGTAGGTATAGTGAAGGGTTACACAAGAACAGTAGGTATAGTGAAGGGTTACACAAGAACAGTAGGTATAGTGACGGGTTACACAAGAACAGTAGGTATAGTGACGGGTTACTCAAGAACAGTAGGTATAGTGATGGGTTACTCAAGAACAGTAGGTATAGTGAAGGGTTACTCAAGAACAGTAGGTATAGTGACGGGTTACTCAAGAACAGTAGGTATAGTGAAGGGTTACACAAGAACAGTAGGTACAGTGAAGGGTTACACAAGAACAGTAGGTATAGTGACGGGTTACTCAAGAACAGTAGGTATAGTGATGGGGTACTCAAGAACAGTAGGTATAGTGAAGGGTTTCTCAAGAACAGTAGGTACAGTGAAGGGTTACAGAAGAACAGTAGGTATAGTGAAGGGTTACACAAGAACAGTAGGTATAGTGATGGGTTACACAAGAACAGTAGGTATAGTGAAGGGTTACTCAAGAACAGTAGGTATAGTGATGGGTTACTCAAGAACAGTAGGTATAGTGAAGGGTTACTCAAGAACAGTAGGTATAGTGACGGGTTACACAAGAACAGTAGGTATAGTGAAGGGTTACACAAGAACAGTAGGTATAGTGAAGGGTTACACAAGAACAGTAGGTATAGTGAAGGGTTACTCAAGAACAGTAGGTATAGTGAAGAGTTACAGAAGAACAGTAGGTATAGTGAGGAGTTACAGAAGAACAGTAGGTATAGTGAAGGGTTACGCAAGAACAGTAGGTATAGTGACGGGTTACACAAGAACAGTAGGTATAGTGAGGGGTACTCAAGAACAGTAGGTATAGTGAAGGGTTACTCAAGAACAGTAGGTATAGTGAAGGGTTACACAAGAACAGTAGGTATAGTGACGGGTTACTCAAGAACAGTAGGTAGAGTGATGGGTTACAGAAGAACAGTAGGAATAGTGAAGGGTTACTCAAGAACAGTAGGTATAGTGAAGGGTTACACAAGAACAGTAGGTATAGTGAAGGGTTACTCAAGAACAGTAGGTATAGTGACGGGTTACACAAGAACAGTAGGTATAGTGAAGGGTTACACAAGAACAGTAGGTATAGTGAAGGGTTACACAAGAACAGTAGGTATAGTGACGGGTTACACAAGAACAGTAGGTATAGTGACGGGTTACACAAGAACAGTAGGTATAGTGAAGGGTTACACAAGAACAGTAGGTATAGTGAGGGGTTACTCAAGAACAGTAGGTATAGTGAAGGGTTACTCAAGAACAGTAGGTATAGTGAAGGGTTACACAAGAACAGTAGGTATAGTGACGGGTTA